TGAGCCAGGTGTGGTACACCTGGGCCAGGCATGGCACACCTGAGCCAGGTATGGCACACCTGAGCCAGGTGTGGTACACCTGAGCTGCGTGTGACACACCTGGGCCAGGTACAGCACACCTGCGCTGTGTGTGACACACCTGAGCCTGTGTGAGCACACCTGGGCTGTGTGTGACACACCTGGGCCAGGTACAGCACACCTGAGCTGGGTATGACACACCTCAGCCAGGTATGGCACACCTGAGACAGGTACGGCACACCTGAGCTGGGCATGACACACCTGGACTGAGTAGGGCACACCTGAGCCAGGTGCGGCACACCTGAGCCTGTGTGAGCACACCTGGGACAGGTAACAGCACACCTGGGCTGGGTGTGAGCATACACGAGCCAGGTGCAGACAGAACACACCTGGGACAGGTGTACAGGTGTGCCACAGGTGCAACATGGGTGTGGCACAGCTAGAACACACCTGGCACAGGTGTGATACAGGTGTACAGGTGTGGCACAGGTGTGCCACAGCTAGAACACACCTGGCACAGGCGTGACAGGTGTGAACACACCTGACCTCACACACATGTCCCCCCCAGCCCCCTGTGCCCCCCCCGTACCCCCTGAGCCCCCTTAATTGCACGCTGAGGCTTGTCTTGGCCTCCCTGTCTTACCTGTGAAACAAACAGGGCATTTGAATGTGCCTCCCATCCCCTCAAAGCTGTGCTCAATCAGGTGACACAGGAGCTTTGCCGGAGAGTCAAACATCTGGTTACACAGCTTGCACTCATGATTGATGCCTTCCTCTGCAAGGTTCAAATGATACAACTTGTTAGTGACACAGCAGATTAGCGTCGGGGAGGCAGCAGCAGCCGGCGGGGAAGGCCTGTGCTGGCACACAGGGCCCCCAGGACCCCCAGGACCCCCAGGACCCCCAGGACCCCCGTGCCCCCCGTGCCCCGTACGCAGGCACTGGCTCCGGGACGGGCCCAGCACGTGCCCGGCCGAGCAGGAGCAGCGGAAGCTGCCCTGGGTGTTGCGGCACTCGCCGGGCTGGCACACGCCGGGCAGGGCGCACTCGTTGATGTCTGCGGCAGGAAGGGCACGCCTGAGCCAGGTGTGGTACACCTGGGCCAGGTGTGGTACACCTGAGCCTGTGTGAGCACACCTGGGTTGTGTGTGACACACCTGAGCCAGGTACGGTCCGAGATCCTGTGAGACCCCCACAGCCACCCCAAATACCTCGAGAGCCCCCCAGATCCCGTGAGACCCCCGGGGCGCCCCCAAATGCCCCCAGACCCCCAGAACGCCCCCAAACATCCCGGGATGAGACCCCCGGAGCGCCCCAAAATCCTCTGAGACCCCTGGAATGACCCCAAATACCCTGTGACCCCTCGAGACCACCCCGATCCCCCCCCCAGGTCCCTCTGTCCCCTTGGTGCCACCCCGGTCCCGCTGCCACCACAGCCCCATCCCCGCTGTCCCCATTGCTGTCCCTGTCCCCTCCTCGGCCCTGTCCCCAACCCTGTCCCCGTGTCCCCGTGTCACTCACCTACTCGGAAGCCGGAGCCAGTCAGGGTGTCCCCAACCCTGTCCCCAACCCTGTCCCCATCCCTGTCCCATCCTCGTCACAGTCCCAGCGCTGTCCCCACACCTGAGCCACCTCTGTCCCCGTGTCCCCGTCCCTGTCCTCGTGTCCCCGTCCCTGTCCCCGTGTCACTCACCCACTCAGAAGCCGGAGCCAGTCAGGATGTCCCCATCCCTGTCCCCATCACTGTCCCCATCGCTGTCCCCATGTCCCCATCCCAGTGCCACTCACCCACTCGGAAGCCAGACCCTGTCAGGGTGTCCCTGTCCCCGTGTCCCCAAGGCTGTCCCCATCCCTGTCCCCCGGTGTCACTCACCCACGTGGAAGCCGGAGCCGGTCAGCGTGTCCCCGTGTCCTCATGGCTGTCCCCATCGCTGTCCCCATGTCCCCAAGGCTGTCCCCGTGTCCCCAAGGCTGTCCCCGTGTCCCCAGGGCTGTCCCGGTGTCCCGGTGCCACTCACCCACGCAGAAGCCGGAGCCGGTCAGGGTGTCCCTGTCCCCATGGCTGTCCCCATGGAAGCCGGAGCCAGTCAGGATGTCCCCATCCCTGTCCCCATCCCTGTCCCCATCGCTGTCCCCATGTCCCCATCCCAGTGCCACTCACCCACTCGGAAGCCAGACCCTGTCAGGGTGTCCCTGTCCCCGTGTCCCCAAGGCTGTCCCCATCCCTGTACCCCGGTGTCACTCACCCACGTGGAAGCGGAGCCGGTCAGCGTGTCCCCGTGTCCTCATGGCTGTCCCCATCGCTGTCCCCGTGTCCCCAGGGCTGTCCCTATGTCCCCAAGGCTGTCTCCATCCCCATCCCCGTGTCCCCATCCCTGTCCCCGGTGCCACTCACCCACGCGGAAGCCGGAGCCGGTCAGTGTGTCAGTGTGTCCCTGTCCCCGTGTCTGTCCCCAAGGCTGTCCCCGTGTCCCCATCCCTGTCCCCGGTGCCACTCACCCACGCGGAAGCCGGAGCCGGTCAGTGTGTCAGTGTGTCCCTGTCCCCGTGTCTGTCCCCAAGGCTGTCCCCGTGTCCCCATCCCTGTCCCCGGTGCCACTCACCCACGCGGAAGCCGGAGCCGGTCAGTGTGTCCCTGTCCCCAGGGCTGTCCCCGTGTCCCCATCCCTGTCCCCCGGGCCGCTCCCCCAAGGCTGTCCCTGTGGCTGTCCCCGTGTCCCCAGGGCTGTCCCGGTGCCACTCACCCACGCGGAAGCCGGAGCCGGTCAGTGTGTCAGTGTGTCCCTGTCCCCGTGTCTGTCCCCAAGGCTGTCCCCGTGTCCCCATCCCTGTCCCCGGTGCCACTCACCCACGCGGAAGCCGGAGCCGGTCAGCGTGTCGGCCGCGTGCCCGTTCTCGCCGATCAGGGTCATGTTGGAGCCGGGCTGGCACGAGTCCCGGCACAGCCCCTTCAGACACGTCCTCCGGCAGATCAGGGGGGCGAAGACCACCTTGAAGCGCTCCCGGGCCACGGCCGCGCCCCCCCCGCGCCCCCCCAGCGCCGCCAGCGCCGCCAGCGCCGCCCACATTCCGTCGCGGCTCCCCCCCCCCGGGGGGGGGGGGGGGGGGGGCGAATGGGACCCCCCAAACCCCAGGGCTCCCCTCCAAGGGGGGCGGGACCCCCAAACTCAGGGACCCCCCCACTCTGGACCCCCCCCAGGCAGGACGAGGCGGCCCCGGCGGTTTTGGGGTCTCGGGAGTTTTTATTTGGTCACAGTCGCCCCCCGAAGCTCCCGGGACCCCCGTCCAGTGTCGGGACCGCCCGGGGGCGGGGCTTCCGCCGAGGGGGCGGGGCCTCAGCGCACCCACCAATCAGGGCGGAGCTTCCTGGTTTGCCCCAGGAGGGGGGCGTGGTTTCCTGCCGTATGGCCCCGCCCAGGAGGGGGCGGGGCTTTTGTAATGCCCGTTGGTTTGACCAATGGCGCGCCAGCGTGGGCGGGGCTTCCGCTTCCGCAGCTGTCAATCACGCCCCGGCGGGGCGTGGCTTGCGGTGCGGGCGGGGCTTGCTGCTGTCAATCCGCCCGCCGCGGCCGCTCATTGGTCGCCGGAGGGTGGCGGGGGCGGGTCCAAGGCTCAGCGGGCGCTCTCATTGGTCGGTGAAGGGGTCTCGGGGGCGGGGCTCGGCGGGGGGCGGGGCCCGGCGCGGCCCCGCGGACAGGGCGGGGGGCTGCGGGGGGAGTCGGGGGTCGCCAGCTCCCGGCCCAGCCCCAGCGACGCCAGCAGGGCCGAGCCCTTCAGCAGCGCCCGCCGCAGCAGCCGGGGGGTCCCTCCCCGAGACCCCCGACCCTCCTCGGCCTCCGGGGGCCCGGCCTCGCCTGCGGGACACAGCGGGGTCAGCGTGGGGAGGGGGAGCGCGGGTGAGACCCCCGAGCCCACCCGGACCCACCGTTGGGGGCCGCGTCCCCCGGGCTCAGCTCCTCCGTGTCCAGGTACCAGGTGGTCTCGTCCGGGCGCAGGCGGCGCCTGGGGGGGACACCCGAGGGTCCGGGGGGGTTCCGGTGTCCGGTTAGGGGGGGTTGGGACCCCCCTGGACACCCCCAGACCCCCATGAGGTGGGGGGGGGGACACACACCTGCCATTGGGGGCGCTGCCCCGCGCCCCGCGGCCCCGCGGCGGCTCCTCCTCCTCCTCGGGCTCCACTGGGGACACAAACGGGGGGACACGGGGTCACGGGGGTCACCGGGGGGGTCACGGGGGGGTGGTGTCACAGCCCCCCCCCCCGGGGATGACGTCACTCACGCTGGATGGCGCGCAGGCGGGGGAAGGGGGGGGATTCCCCCGGCCCATCCTCGGGGTCGTGGCTCCGGGGGTCCCCCCCGGGCGACGCCTGGACCGTCAGGCGGTGCTTGAAATCTGGGGAGGGGGCAGCGCCGCGCTCAGGAGAGCCCCGAAACACCCCAAAAATCCCCCAAAATCCCCAACGGGCACACACACACTCCAGCACCCCAAAATCTCCAAAGCCCCCCCAACCCCCTGGCTCCCTCAGGACCCCCAAATCTCCTGGACCCCCCAAAGCCCCCAAGACCTCCCCAAATCCCTCAAGACCCCCAGATCCCGTGGACCCCGAAATCCCTCAAGACCCCCCAAAGTCCTCAGCCCTCCCAAAGGCCCCTGGCTCCCTCAGGACCCCCAAATCTCCTGGACCCCCCAAAGCCCCCAAGACCTCCCCAAATCCCTCAAGACCCCCAGATCCCGTGGACCCCGAAATCCCTCAAGACCCCCCAAAGTCCTCAGCCCTCCCAAAGGCCCCTGGCTCCCTCAGGACCCCCAAATCTCCTGGACCCCCCAAAGCCCCCAAGACCTCCCCAAATCCCTCAAGACCCCCAGATCCCGTGGACCCCGAAATCCCTCAAGACCCCCCAAAGTCCTCAGCCCTCCCAAAGGCCCCTGGCTCCCTCAGGACCCCCAAATCTCCTGGACCCCCCAAAGCCCCCAAGACCTCCCCAAATCCCTCAAGACCCCCAGATCCCGTGGACCCCGAAATCCCTCAAGACCCCCCAAAGTCCTCAGCCCTCCCAAAGGCCCCTGGCTCCCTCAGGACCCCCAAATCTCCTGGATCCCCAAAGCCCCTGGACCCCCAGCTCCCCAAAACCCCCTGGCTGCCTCAGGACCCCCAAATCTCCTGGATCCCC